TCTATTGCTTCATTTTGCCTTTTCTTAAATTTTATGTAATGGAATCTGGGTAACTTGGGGTCTGACTTCTTTCACTCAACACTGGGCTGATGAAATTCATCCATGCTGTGTATATCAGTAGTTTATTCCTCTTTATTGCCAGTAAAATTTCATTTGTGGCTCTGCCACTATTTGTTTAACTACTTTCCTGTTGGGCATGTAAGAGTAGTGTTGTGTGCACAATTGTATGCGTGTCCTGGCGCACACATGGACCCGTTCCTTGGGTGTGTACCCAGGAATGGAATTGTCGCATTCCAGGGTGAGAGGAAGTTTAACTCTATGAGAGACCGTCAAACTGCTTCTTCCAATGTGACACCCCACTAGCATCTCATGCGGGGTGCAGGTGCCCAGCTCTCCCACCCGATTTCCTCCCAGCATTCCTTTGAGAGCCACGACGCTAAACAGTGGCTCTAGCGTGTCTGCCTCGGGCCCCTGTCACCCCCTCCCTCTGTTCATTCATTTCCTGTCCCTATCATTCCACATTCACTGCAGGCCTGCTCCGCCCTGCCTGCCCCGGTTCATCTGGCTCTCGGGGCTGGGCAGCCTGTCTGCAGGCACAGCTCTGCCAGGGGTGGGCATCCTCCTTTCCCACCACGCCTGCCAGAGGGTCCGTCTTAAAGCCGTGGCAGGGAGGGCAGCTGGCTGCCATCTGTGCCTCCGAGGAAGCTGGCGTCTTGGCCGCCCCCTGCATCTGTGTCAGTGTGTCACTGTGTGGAGGGGCATGTCAATCGCCTTCCACTTCCTGGCCCCCCTGCCCACCCTGCCAGCCACACTGCCCAGCACACACTAACACTAAGGGGCCTGTGTCCAAATTGCTTTCCAGCGTGTTGTACCATTTGATAATCCCATGAGCAGCGTGAGGGGCAGGATAAATCCAAAGCCCAAGTCTTCATGAGAACAGCCTGTGGTCATCCATCTGCAGGGAAGGCCTCGCCTGTTGCCCTCCTGGTTTCCTCGGCACCTTCCCTTGCATGCAGGTGGGCTTCTGCAGGTGGAGCCCCGGCTTTCTGCTGGGCTCTGGCTCCCTGTTCTTCCTGAGCCCAAGACCTTGGGGTGTGGGGGTCCAGGTGCCCCCGGTCTCACCTGGAGTGACAGGTAAGGCCAGAGAGAGAGGGCCCAGCAGGCATATGGGCCCCAGGTGGTGCTCCACTGGTACCCCTGCTGGGGGTGGGACAATCCCCCAGGCCTGAGTGGGGAGCGGGCCACCACATGGTAGCCCGGTGCTCAAAGCTGTGGTTCTATGGAATCCATGCCCCTTCTGGAGACCTACTGAAGGCCCCCCATTCAATCCACTGGCAAGATCTTTCAACAAATATCTACTGAGGACCTACTATGTGCAGCTTAATTATAGTGAACAAATAAGATACTTTTGAATACTGATGTGTGTTCTATGGGAGGAGAACAAGGTGCTGTCATACGGAGTGCTTGGGGAGGCTGGCAAGTAGGTGGTGTGTGAAGGAGCCTGCATGGGAGGCCCTGAGGGAGAGCTCTCCAGGCAGAGGGGACAGCAGGTGCCAAGGCCATGGGGTCAGTATCAGATTGGAATGTTAAACCATGACAACAGGCCCTCTGCTTGGAGCGCAGTCAACAGAGAGGACAGAGATGCGATCAGAGAGGGAAGGAGGGAAAAGGGACAGCGGGGAACGATCTGGGTCACACCGGATGCGATGGGAGACCATCACAGGATTGTGGGAGGAGCTCAATGTGAGGCGACTGACATTTTTGCAAGTCCGTTTTGGCTGCCATGTCAAGGATGGGCTCCAGGCAAGAGGGCAGGGACCAGTGAGGAGGTCACTTGCAGCCATCCTGTTGAGAGATGGAGATGACTCAGAAGGGGGGTTAGCAGCAGACAGAGAGAGAAGTGGACAGGCGGAGTCATGGGGACCCGCTGATGGAGCGGAGTGCACAGAGAGGTCGGGAGAGAGCAAGGGTGATGCTGAGGCCCAAGGTGCCACTTACTGAGATGGGGAGACCCAGGGGAGGGGTGATGAAGGCGGGCTGTGATCAGGAGTTCTGGCCATGCCACATCTGAGATGCTTGTTAGACCTGCCGGAAGGCTGTGGAGTGGGCATCAAACACCTGCGTCAGGAGTTCTGGGGAGAGAGCCAGGCTGGAGTCGCCTCTGAGCTATGGGCCAAGAGGTCACGGGTGGGCGATGGCCACTGGTGGCTGGAATTATCGCTCCCAGTTCCTCCCTCCCTGTTAGAGAATCACCCACCTCCACCCGCTGCCTGCTGACTCTCCCATGTCTCCCGCCCCACTGACACCGGACTTGGCTGCATGACTTGCTCTTTCTACTGGAATGTGACAGAAGCACAGAGTGGCATTCTAGGTCCCTTCCTGCACGTCTCTGAGCATGAGAAGAAGACCGCCCTGGGAAGCCACTGGTCCCACAAGGTTAGAAGACGTGTGGCACATGCTTGAACCCAGCAGAGCGGCAAGCCAGAAAAGCAAATGCTGCCATGCTAAGTCCCTGGGCACTGGGAGTGGGTATCACACACAGCGTTCCTGCAGCCGCAGCTGACTGACGCACAGGCAGTCCGACGCCAGAACCTGTGCGCTCCAAGGGCTCGGCAAACACCGCTTAGGATTACTCGGGTGGAGCTGATTGTGAATCTAAAGCAGACGCTTCCCTAGGCATTTTCCCCAACTCTGGGCTCCCTGTGGTGGCCACAGCTGCAATCTGCTCCCATCTGTATTTTTTGCTCCAGTTTTCATAATTTTTCCCCAATTAGAAAAGTCCTGTATTATCCCTGGGCCCGGGGACAATCCTGGTTACCATTTTGGGGTCCTTCCCTCCAGACCTTTTCTCTAAATAATTTCCAGAGACTAGGTGTCGGGCCAGGGGGACCAGCAACATCTTGAGAGTCTGTTTGTAATGTACTGGTCTGCAAGGCGGATGGGAAACAGGTCCTGGATGTGTGTCTGTGGGCAGGCTCTTGGGGTTAAGATGGGAAAATAGCAGCAACGTTTATTCATCATTTACCATATAATACGCCAGTGCAGGGGGCGCCATTGGACCTCTGTGCAGCGGGGCGCTCAGCACTCGCCATTCCAGAACATGCCAAGACCTGCAATGGTGCCCTTTCCCCTCACAGACAGCTCTCTGCCAGTGAGGCTTGGGGGCTGGAAGGGCGGAGGATAAACACCCCTGCTCGCTCCCACTTTGGTGAGGGCATGGTCCACTCAGTTTCCCAGTGCTGCCTAGGGGCTGTGCCCCAGGGGCCCACCAGGGGCCCAGGGCTGCGGTCGGAAATGCACACGCCCAGGGGTGGCTGCCTTACGTCCTGCTCCTCCTTCCATGTTCCGGGGGTCATGTCTGGATACCCCAAGTGTATTTATGTGCATCCCTGCTTCTGGGGGCAGCCAGGCACTGCGTGTGCGTCTTCCATTCCCTCCCAAGCGGCCGGCCAGTTCCAGTTTAACCAGTGGTTTTGTAGCACCACCGCTGCTAAGCGCTAGACGCCGGCTGTGGGAAGTGTGCTGATGGAGGCGACACAGCACCTGTGCCTCGCCCACCAGGTCTTGCCTGCCTTCCACACGGAGAACGGCCCCGAGCTAAAGCAGAGATGGCCCTTTCTGGCACAGGTCATGTACTTTACCAGACCGAGGTTATACAATATGTATCATTACATAAACTGATTGTGAGAATTTCCCCACATTCTTAAAAATCCAGGAATCATTGTTAAACACAGGTCAATTTAATGATGATAGTAGCTGATATGCAGGGAAGATGGTCTGCGAGCCAGGAGCTGAGCCTGGTGTGCACCGTGGGCTGACTCATCTAATCCTTAGAGACCCAGAGCTAAATCCCGCTATTCTCCCCATTTACAGAGGAGGAAACAGGCCCAGAGAGGTGACAGAGCTTAGACTGAAGATTTATATGCGGGTCATCTAACTCCAGAGTTGGGGTCGGGGGGACACATGTTTGTGGTCTCCCTTATTTTTGGACACTAATTTCTGCTTTCTGGTTGCTGTAAACAGCACACAACCGACAGCCGGCCCTCCATCACTACCAGCCTCGCTAATTACTTCCTCAGGGTGGATTCCCAGGAAGAGAATTATGGGGTCAAAGGGCAGGACTGGCTCTAAAACGCTTCAGCCCTGGTGCCCCGCTGTGGTCTTGCTGCTGGGTTCCCCCGCCTCCTCTCCCGCACGACTGGAGGCCAGTGCCACTGGGAAGCCTCCAGCCTGGCCTCTCTCTGCCTGGCCCCCAGCACCTGAGTCCGCACCGGCCCTCCATCCGACATCCCAGGACCCTCCGTATCCCAGCAGAGGGGTTCTGAGGCTCTCGGCGAGGCAGTCTTTGCCCAGAAAGGACAATCGTCTCTCGCCTCCTGCCCAAGACAGCATCTCCTCTAAGCGTCTGCCCAGAAAGGCTGCCACACTGGAGCCCAGAGGCTTAATGAGGAAGATTCTCTGGCCTCTCCTCAAAGGGCTCATAGTCTGGGGTCATTGCTGTAAAACCGCGGATCCCAGAGCAGCACGGAGCTCCGAGAGTGTGCTCGGGAGTGCGGGCCCCGGGCTGTGTGCAGCCCCCTGGCTGGCTGCTCCTGTGACGGGAAGACACAGATGCAAGAGGGAGGACCAGGGCTGTGTGGGGTGTCTTTGGAGGGACTCCGAGCCCGTGATTCAGAGGGAAGAGGGAGGAAGCCTCCCGTCGGATTTCCTCTTAGCTTCGTGCACTGGGGCCAGCCTGGGCTTGAATCTTCCTTCTGTACTGTGCGGTCTTTGACAAGTGACTCAACCCCTCTGAGCTCCAGGACTTTGACCCTATTTCCAAGAGTGTCATAAAGATTTTATGGATGATATATACACATAAGGTGTCCCAGCTAAGCCCAAACTGGGCTCCCTAGTGGATTTGTTTGCAGCCCGACAGAACTGTCACCTGGGAGACCCAGCTGCATGCAACTAATGCAAGAGGGCTTTTGCTTTGAGGGCCCAGGGGGAGAAATGGACGAGTGAGGGTCACCAGGAAGGGTTGTCCAGGTTGGGCCCTGCACAAGGGCACCTGACTAAGAAAGGTGGTGGGGGCTGCAAGGGACCTGTTTTCTACTTCACTCAAAGGCACCAGGTGGGCTTATGGGGCCCCAGAAGAATTCGTGTGCTGCTGGAAGGCGGGATGGGCTCACCCGGAACTTTCCAGCCAGCAGAAGTGCCCAGGTAAGACTGTGAGACTCTGGGCATGAGTGTGTGTGGGGGCCAAGGAGGGCCTGTCCGAGACGAGCCCAGCCTGCCCACCCCTCATAGCCAACCGCGCTCAGTTAGGAGTCATAACCCCCCGGGCCTGCCTTGAGTCCCTGCTCTGTGCCTGGCAGTCAGTGAGCCAGTCCAGGGTGCCAGGCCGTGGGAAGGAGAAGAGTGGGGGCCACTGGGGGTCCACTCAGGACTGTGAGCCCCCCCCCCAGGTGCCCCCAACTGCTGGCACTAGCTCCATTCTGCCGGGAGCCCTGTGGCTGAGCCCTCAGCTGGGAGCAGACAGCCATGCTAATCCCATCCTGGGCTGGTGGCCACCCCCAGGGAGGGGCTGGGCGATGGGCAGTGAACCACCTTAAAGCTGGGTTAGAGTCCCGGATAGTTACCGATGGCTTCACGGCTGCCCCGGATCATCCACACCCGGCTGGTCCCTGGCCAGGCCCAGCACCTGAAAGCAGGCAGCTAGCTGTTAGGGAGGTGCACGGGAAAGGGGCGAAGCTGGGGGAGGGCTAATCAGACGGCCCTGATTGTAATTGTCCGAAGGTGCTGGCCTTCCTCGTGAGCGTGCGGACTGGGGGCCAGCCTCTGCATCTCAGCAGGGCTTCTCCCTGCTGGGACTGTGCCGGGTAATGTTCTTTCAACATAACTCTATTTAAATTCACATTTCCATCAGCCCCAGAGGAGCCGGCGAGAGAGCTGAGCTGCGTGGTATAAGCCAGGAAAGGATTAGATGGGGTGGTGGGTGTTATTTTTTCCTTTTATTTCCCTTAGTGATGGCAGCGGGTAGTGGAGGGGGGTGCTGTTCTAGAATCCTGCAGCACCAGAGTCGGAAGGGCCATTAGAGGCCATCCAGCTTAAATCTCCTCCATGTCCAGATGGGAAACTGAGGCCCACAGGGGCCTCCGCATGTCCAGCAGATTCCTTCCCTGACTAGACCCTGGGGTGGGTGTCAAGGAAAGGTCCAGTGCTGGGGCTTTGCCCCTTTTGCTAGCTGGCAGGTGGCACCACTTCCCTCCAAGCCAACTCCAAGCCAGCTGAAGCCCCCCAGAGGCCCAGCCCCTTCACCGCTGCTCTGCCGGGCCGGGGAGGGGTGGCAGCTGAGCCCCTATCATGAGTCACCTTTCTGCAGAGCACAGCTGGGCCTCATTTCCTCTGCAGGTGGTCCCTGGGGGCTGGCAAAGGCTATAGCCTCTCAGGAGCGGAGGAGGGCACAGGTGAGGGGGGGCATCAGACGAGGGCCCAAAGCAAGGCCAGATTGAGAGGCCAGGAATGTGGCTCCCAGGGGAGGCCCGGGCTGGATTACAGGCTGAGCCGATGGAAAGATGGAACGCTGTGCTGACCGGAGGGCCAGGAGCAGGCGGGGGCAGGCAGGGCAGGGGCTGGCTGGCCACTGAGCCCCCGTGCAGGCCCTCTGTCATCCTGCTGTGGGCCTGGAGGTGGGGAAGCTAAGGGCAGAAGACAGGAGAGGGGACAGGAAGTTAGCAGCATTTGGGATGACACTCCTAGCTCTACGGATACAGAAATGTTCAAAGAAGCATCTGTTTTTGTTTTTTTTCATTTCCCCCATTATTAACAGCTTGGGTGCTGTTAATGGTGGAGGGGGCTGAGGCCCAGCCCGGATGCCACCCCGGTGACAGCGGTGTGTGTGTGTGTCTGTGTGTGTGTGTGAGACCCACTTACTCCTCTGAGCAGACAGGCCAACCCCTGTGGTGCAGGCCCCCCAGGGCCACCACAACTCCGCTCTGAAGGGCATTTCTCTAAGGGTCTTCCTCTGAGACTGGAAGGAAGGGGGCTTTGGATCGTCTCCACTGGACTCCAACCCAGTGGGATGTACTGGGTCCTCTCCTCCAGGGCAGGGGTGGCAGGGCTGGCCTCCTGCATGTGCTGCAATGACTCACGTCCAGTGGGGGCTCTCTCCTATACGCCCATAGACAGAAATTTTCTCGCATGCCAGGGCCTGTGTGGAGTCCTGACTGAGGTTCAGAGAGGTTGAGACACTCACCTAAGGTTGCACAGCCAGGAAGTGCCCTCATCACCACCTTGTGCTGCCCCTCATTAGGGTGCCCACAGTCTGATGGCCCCAGGGAGGGAGGTGGTTAGACCCTGGGGTGAGAGTCTGGCACCTGGTACCCTGCGTTCACAGCCAGTCACCTCCTCAGCTGTGCTCTGTGACCTCTGTGAAGTTACATCCCCTCTCTGGCCTCAGTTTCCCTATCTGCTAATCAAGTCTGCCTCTCAGGAGGACATTGTGGGGGTCAAAGAAGACAAAGGCAGTGAAGTCACTTTGCAGGGGTTTAGTAAGTCACTGACTCAGACAATGGGGCAGGCATTGTGTGGGGCGGGACAGAGGGGTGCCAGGTTCCTTCAGGGGACCTGCCACTTTTTGTCCCTCCACCAGGGGCCAGATGTGAGGGACCAGCACCGTGCAGGGTAGGCAGAAGAAGGGGTCTGAGAGCCAGGGCCAGATGTGGTTGGCTTTCCCCTCTTCCCTGGGGCCACCGCCTGGACTGCCCACCCAAGCTTTAGGGAGTAAGGGGGCCCTCAAACCCCAAAAAGAAAGAAAGGAGCCAAGCTGTGGTCGTGTGCTCTGAGAGTCCATCTCACAGTGTGACCTGCCCTCAAGCAGGGCGGCCCTGCGTGGACAGGCTTCCTCTGTGCCCTGGGTGGGGAAGCGGAGGTGAGGGTCTTCGACTTCCTCTCCTGGGAATCCCGCCTGGGAATTGCTTTCGGCTCACGTGATTGATCGGAAGGACTCAGGCCAGAGTGGAAAAAGCAGGTGGCCCAAGGCCGGGACGGGCTCTGCTGCCCATGCGGTTGGGCGTCCTTGGACCGATCACCTGCCTGTCTCCCTCAGCACTAAATGGGAATCTCCAACCCTACAATCTTCCAGCCACAGTCTCAAGACCAGAGAATCTTAGAATCGTGAAATCGTGAAAAAATTTGGGAGAATTTTCTTTTTTTCTAAAAAAGAGAGATAACAAATGGCAAAGTAATCTGAACATGCTTCCCAAATGCCAGGATGGCTGATTCCTTTTTGCCATCTTGGAGGGTGGGTGTAGGGTGTCTGGTAGGGAGTGGAAACATGGAGGGGGCTGGAGAGGCATTGAGAGGCTGCCAGGAAACCTACTTCTCAAGCAAGAACCCAGAGACATGACACGTCACTCCAGATGTTGCCAAGCTCCCCTCCACCTTCTCCTGCTAACTCCTGTCCCTGTGGCTGTGTCCCTGCTAGCCTGGGACTCGGCTATGACCAGGACACCCACCCCACCTTCCACCAGCTACATTTTCCCCGTCTTCAAACGAGGTGTCTGGATTCAGTTTTAGCTGCAATACTGTGTTTGAATGAGCTCTTTTATGGAGCCCCTAGTCTAACATCAGAGCTGTCCTGGGTTGAGGGGTGAAGCCATGAAGGGCCCTTGGCCTCCTGCTGGCCTCCCGGTTTCCACCCTGGCCCCTCCTGCGTTCAGCCCCCAAAGTGGTCCCACAGAACCTGAGACTGTGAGCGCATCTGTAACCCCAGCCTGAAAGGATGCTCTGCAGACATGACATCCAAACTTCCACTCATCAGAGGATCACTGATTCTGACAGTGAGTCGGGCTCCTCGGAGTCCAAGTGGACCTGGGCTCCTGGCCAGTGATTCTGCTCATGTCTGTGAACAGATGAGCAGGGCCCGGGATGTTGGCTGGCAGAGGTGATCGAAGGAGGTGGGAGTTAGCTGTATGCTCCAAGGAGGGGCCCTCCCGAGGGTGGGCTGTGGCACATTTTGGGGGACACAGTGCAGCTCTGGGGCCCAGGGGACCAGGCCTGGCTCAAAGCAGGTGCTCAGTAAACAAAGGTTGAATGGATGGCAGGTGGGAGCCCATCCCTCCCGCTGGGGTGCTGGGAGGGTCAACTGGGCTTACCTCTGGGGGCTCAATACCAAGAGCTGTCAAGTGTTGCCTGAGGAAGTGACAAGGAGCAGAGGAGATGGGAAGGCTGACAGGCGTCATGGGTGAGGAGAGGAGCCAGGGCCCCATGGTGGGGGAAAGGGGGAAGACAAGGGGCACCAGAGGACAGTGCAGCCATAGGAGAGGGGAAGGGATGGGACTGGAGGCCCGAGGGACAGGACTCTGTCCCCTGCCTGCCCTTGTGGAGGGAACCAGGAACTCGCATGGTTGTAAATGCACTCAACGTGTTCAGAGGGCACTTCAGGGAGTTAATTCTGATGGTGACGGGAGGCAGACCAAGGGGCAGACCTGGGGGTATACAGAGGCCAGGAGAGGCTGGGGAGGAGGAGAGGGAGCAAGGTGGACACAGTCTGCAGGGCCTTGGGAGGGACAGTGCCAGGAATGGGTGATTGAGGGTGGGAGTCAAGGGCGACCCCCTGGCCTTTCACTGATGGGGTGCTTCTCCCTTCAACAGGGGGCTCCAGGTGAGGCCAGGCTTGGGAGTAGTGCTGAAGCTCCACACTGGACATATTGGCTGGGGGACCCCTTGAAACACCATGGGGGTGCCAAGGAGGCAGGTAGAGGCCATGGCGCAGGTGGCACTGCAGGCACAGGTCCCATGGCCTCTGCCAGGGGGAACTGAGGGCTAGAGATCCCAGGGGGAGAGCTGAGGCAGGGTGTGGACTGGGTCTTAGGGACTTGCAGCCTGAGAATTCCAGGTCTCCTCCCCACCCACCCACCCCTGCCACCCCCAGGGCACAGAGCAGGCAGCTTGGCCTAGAGGAGCTTCCTCTGTTGAGCAGCCAGGGGAAGATGTAAGTAAGGGCTGGTGGGCTCTGTGAGAAGCCCCCGGGGACCACAGGAGTATCTGGGTGGCTGTGAAAGTGGGGTGCAGCCCCAAAGTCGTGTAGAGGGGGTGAGGGGAGCAAAGTACGTCCTGTGGCTGTTGTGACTTTGCCAGAGCTCATGGCTGCTGGGCCATCAGATTCAGGAACGCCTGCAGCAGCCCTTCCGGGATGCCATGATTCCAAGAAGCTACCA